CCTGAATATGCAGACCGCACATGCGCAGTGCTATCTCATGTAATCTCGAGTGAGGTGATGACGTAATAGAATCAAGATCACCATGCTAATTTCGTGCCGTCGCCTCTGTCAGGCAAGTCTGACGTAAAATAATACGATATATGTTAGAGTGTATTGGAGTGTATTGGAGTGTATTGCAGTGTATTGGAGTGTATCGGAGTGCGTTGAAGGTTGCATCACTAGTAATTGCTGGCAGAGTTGGCCTGTCTTGAAACAAGATGACAGCCATCATATAGCTTGACAAAATTACAAGAGATTGTGTTCTGTGCAAACTTTGTTTTCGGTAAGTATAATAAAAACATTATCCAATATGTAGCAGGCAATGCCTGGTGAGCGAGCGCAGCCCTGCATTTGATTGACCCAAACTCTTAGGGTATATAGATTTTGTTCATACTCTCCTACAAACCTGATTTAAAATCCATCAAAAGTTTTCAGTAGACGAGATAGATGCATGTTTTTTTCACTGTGATGTGGAAAATAATAAAACATAAATTAGAATAAGTAAATGAGTAGAAATCGGATACACTTACCTATATCTTTATGGTTCCTACATTTAGACAGCTTGCAGCCAAAAGAGTAAAAAAAAAACCCAAAAAATCTTAAATACAATATGTCCAGTAAAATTAATAAAAATTCCAAAATATAACCATAATTAAAAAAAATAATAACGCGTTGCTTGAAAACAGGAGAGGTAAAAAGCTGTTTTTTTTTTAACCACGGAGGTATAAACAGAATGCCTCCATGTTTTAACACAGGACTAATTTAAAAAAACGCCTTCTACAGTTCAATTTTATATCCCATAAATCTTTACAAAATACAATATGGAGTTAACACATTTCTTCCCTATACACACTATATGCACATCTATTCTGTGCTCGCTATTATTGACTCATTGAAATCATCCAAGAAACCCGTCTGCATGAATTCATGATGTATCGACATTCCACGTGATTTTACGTGTTCTCATAAGAGTCATATCCTTTCCCTGTATCAACACGTGAGTATCTACAGTAGTGATTGAAACATTGACTTGTTGTAATGAACTATTACAAAAACACGTGTTATTGTCTATGAATATCGTGCATGTTTTGTTTTCATCACTTTCTTAGTAGTTTGTGTTAAATACTGGTAACAATGAATACAACCCTATTCCTATAGCTGACGACCAAACACAGTTACATAACTAATATCAAGAACATATCACGTTTGGTTTATTTGTAGATACCCAACGGACTTATGTGTGCAAATAATTATAAGACACATATGTATTTGAATTGATATATTCGATCACTACGTAGTTTGACCATTGTTGTCAAAGTTTCAAGTTATTGTTCACAGTAATGTCACGCAAAGAATAATTTATTCCATGGTTATGCACAAGGATACACATAAATGTACGTGTAAATGTAACTCAATCGAATTCATCGTTTCTTACTCCATGTGTTAGACTAAATAATGTTCCAATTCTCATTAATCGTCCGATATTGCGCGTAAAATGGAGGCGCACTTGTCTACTATCAACGTTGCTAATAATCCATGTAGTTATAGGTGCGAATAAATTTAAACTTTACGGATAACCTTAAAGTTGAATCTTTATACAGTTGTGTCACCAAGTTGCATTGATGTTGTCATGACGATGCTATGAGGGCCGCGGTCCCGACTCATCTGAAAGACTGGCGGTCCCGACTCATCTGAAAAACTCGCGGTCCCGACTCAGCTGAAAGACTCGTGGTCCCGACTCATCTGAAAGACTCGCGGTCCAGACTCATCTGAAAGACTCGCGGTCCAGACTCTTCCATTACCTCCACATTATAATCATCCTATTCATTTAATCATCAATTTTGTTTTTTATATTTTCTTCTATCTGTATTTAATTTTTTTATATATTTCTTGTTGTCTA